ACCACAGAGAAGCAAGAGATAGCTCTATCTTCCTACACAAAGATGAACAGGAAATGGTGACCTTCCTGAAGATTCAGCAAAGGCTTCAATTCTCTACCTGATCCAACATAGCCCAATTTTATTCCTTTAACCTAATTATGACAAAAGAATGACTGAGATCAGCTCTGAAAGACACTCAACGGTGAGGTCTTCAAGGCCTTAAGCTTGACAATTGGCTGCCTCCATGAGACCTAGGAGTACAGATGGAAGGCAGCTTGCTCAGGTGCCAGCCTGTCAGTTGGATTAAAATGACTCATTTATTTACCCAAGAACCTCACAAAGTGCTTTTACTAACAGGGAGTGGGGGCCTGCGGGCTCTCTGAGCAAGGGACGCAGCAAACTCGCCTCTGACGCCTTCCCGGCCTGCCAAAAGTCATTATTGCCGTGTGTGGAAAGCCATCAGCAGGGTCCAGGCCCCCGTTGTCCGGGTGACAGATTGGGCTGCGTAATCAGAGGAGGAAGGAGAGAGTACAGAAGCTGTCAGAGGCTAGCGATCTTGGCTGGAGCCGCCAAAAAACTGGCAACATGAGTTAGCATAACTGAGTAAACAGCAAACAATCTTTCCATTAGCACAAATGAAAAAGATAAACTTTACCTAAAAAGCATACCCCAGAGAAATGCAAGAAAGTCTACATTTATTTGGGGCGGTGAACTGACATTCTTCTAACTCTGACAGGCCTCATCTCCTTTGTCTCCTCTCTTCTGGCACAGTGGAAATTCCCCAGGAGGAAAGGAAATTAAGGACTGCACAGACTGAACAGTGTGCTTCAAGCAGAAAGAGAGAGAAATGAAAGGTGAAGAAAGGCTGCACAAGTAAGTGATTTTGGTATCTTCTAAAAGAAGTATGTGCTGGACAGTCAAGAAGGTCTATTCCAATGAATAATTAATCAGCAAGACCTAGGTGGAACTGGAAATGTCTCTACTATCCTGAGGGAAAGGTTACTGTATCTCATTTATCCAGTGACAACCAGAGAGAGCCACATGGACCAATACACAGTCTCTTGTCAGCCAGCAGCAGCTTGGAAATACCATTTTCCAGTCACTTAGTGTTATTTCTCCTTACCATGTCAGAGATACAAAAAATTATTAAAAAACCATGCTTCCTTCCTTTGATTTAGGGTGAGTTCCTCAAAGTTGGAAATATTATTATGTAAATCAGGAATGGAGACCATCCAGCCCATGGGCATTACAGGGCCGAGAAATCACTTGGTATGGCCCTGCCAAGGCAACAGCAGGCGGGACTCAAAATTTTAAAAATCTAGGAGTTTTTTTCCATAACAACATAAATTCATATTAAGTAATGTTATAAAGGAATCCTGGTGTGGTGCTGTGGGCTAATGCGTCAGACTGCAAAGTCGCTTGAACTGCAAAGTCAGTGGTTCAAGCTCACCAGCTGCTCCTTGAAACACTATACAGGGTTACTATGGGTTGGAATCGACTCAACGGTACTTAACAACAACAACGTTATAAATATCCAAATGGCCCTTGGCAGAAAAAAGGTTCCCCACCCCGGAGTCCTGGTGTGGTGTTGTGAGCTAATGTGTCAGACTGCAAAGTCATTTGAACTGCAAGGTCGGTGGTTCAAGCTCACCAGCTGCTCCTCGGAAACCCTATACAGGGTTGCTATGGGTCAGAATCAACTCGAAGGCACTTAACAACAACAAAAACCCCTGATATGGTACTGCAGTTTAATGCGCTGAACGGCAATGTCACTTTGAACTGAAAGGTTGGCAGTTCAAGCTCACCAGCCACTCCTCAGAAATCCTATACAGGGTCGTTATGGGTTGGAACTGAGTCAACGGCACTTAGTAGCAACAACAACAGGCCTGGTGTAGATAACCAATTGTTTTCTATCTCATTTTTCTGATTTCCTAATTTCATTTGAGGAAAGAGGGCTTTGAATTTGCAGACAATTCTTACCTGGTATTCCTACTCCGTATTTATTGCAGTTTTTCCCCAAGATCTAATTTTCCAGCATACCCAAATTTATACTTCAGAGGTGCAAAGACTTCTCACCCACAGTATACAAATCCATGCATTGCATCCTGAGAGTTGCGTAAAATTTTTAAAGTCCTTCCTTTTAAGATGTTTATAAAATGAAAGAAAATGTATATACGTCCTGAACTATAACTAATGACGGAAAAGATAAAGCTGGGAGGAAAATGGGGTGGAGGAGGACCTGTTTAACAATAAAGAAAACAAATGACTATGGGCTTTTGAGTGCTTACTCCACAATTCCCAAATTTTAATATAAACATTCAGTTTTCGGGCCTGATAAGCGGACGTTAGGATGAAAAGTCAAAATGGCAAATGTACAGAATAAAGGGAGAAAAATCCTCACATAACAATTAACAACGTGACTCCTCTTTATCAAAAGAAGCCAGTTCTCCATCTGCCTTGTCCTGACGTGGCCCTCGTCCCTCATTAACACTAAGGAAGCTCCTGGAGAGCATTCAGATAGCCTGGAAAGCAACAGGCTGCTTGAAAGGCTGCTTGAAAGGCTGAAGAGTGACAATAATTTCCCTAACCCAGGCATGATCTATTATAGCATGTCTGATGTGCCCTGCAGCTCTCAGACACCAAAGTGTCACACTGAAGCAAACAAATATGGCAGAAGTAGCAGGAACGCTGAGACGGAATGGATAATGTCACATCACTGGGATCCTGGGCTCGTGTCTTTGTTTGGGAATAGAGAGAAGTGAGACCTATCAGTTCTTAGCCAGGGCTTTTCATCAGAGTAAACAAACGATGAGAGTGTAGCGAAGAACCAATGTACTGAAAAAGGTCTAGACAAGCAAACAGACCAAGAAGTTTTAGAGAACTCAGATTATGGCAAGTTGAGAGTCTGCTTTAGCTATAGCACCCAGGAATGGAGGAGGATGTGTTTATGTTATTCTTCTGCCAAGTCAATGGCAACCTGTGTTTCGTTGACATCACTTGCATACAGGAACTAGCAACTAGAATAAGGAAAGTAATTGTGCTTTTGATTCCACTGAGAATTACACTTTAAAAGAATGATCTTTTGTTCATTCTTAACAGAATTACCAAAAAAATCTGAACTTAGGATACAGCACATTTTCATTGAGACTTGACAATTTCCTAAAGATAAATCTCCAACATCTAAAGGTCTAAGATTAAAAAAATTAATTTTCTTTAAATCTTAACCCAAACACCAAAGCTAAGATTTCTGCTGCTTTCTCTGTCAATATAGTCTATTACACTGATTCTTTAGACACTGCCATATGTGTGTGTGTGTGTGTGAAAAAAATGAAATTACTCCCCATGAGCAAGCATATGAATCCCAGTCCTCCTCTGGCTTTAGGGAAAAAAATAGACATTGGTCATTCTCAACAACGAATTTCTTGGGCCCCTTCTCTCCACCAATTTAACCCACAAATACTGAGTGGCTGCTATGAGCCTGCTCTGGGCCAGAGCATAGACTTTGTCCTCTAAGGGCCTGGGGTCTGGTGGAAACATATCCAACATTGAGTGTAATGAGCACTACAAAGTAAAAATCCAAGGTGAACTGCAAGTGTCTAACAGGAAAGAACCAACCCTCTAAATTGGTGCTCTAGAGGTTCAGTGTCTGGAAAAGGAAAATGTAAGCTGAGATCGAAAGCAGGGGTCAGTTTTATATATATATAAAGGCTGGGGTGTTCCAGGTAGAATGAATACCTTGTACCAAGACTCTAGTGTCAGAAAAATCAAGAATGGCATCTCAAGGAACTAACAGAGGAACCAGTTTGGCTGAAGAGTAAAGGGGTGAGGAGGAAAGTGGCATGAAGGTCAGATTGCAGAAAGTACTGTTGGATGTGATACGGACCTTCTCTTTAGCCAGACATTTAAAGAAAGTTTTAGAAAAAAGCATCTGACTTGTGACATGGCATCATAAGTGAAGAGTTACTTGGTCAGACACAAATGCTCCAGTAGTAACTAGCCTCAGATGTGACTGCAGTTCCTCAGAGAGTCAGAAAGGCCTGTTTGCCACACATGTGAGAATCAGTGCTAGAGTAAGGTCACTCAGCAGGCCTTCTTGTGTATAGTCATACATACACACTCACACAACAAACAAAGCAGCCCTCACTCACAGATAATTTAGATAGACATCAGTCTCTGTTCCCTTTCAAACAGAACATAGTAGAATTTCCATAAAAAGTAGTTACATTAAGTAAGGCCTAGACAGGTGTTCAAATATCTAAATGTCTCTATTCAAGTTCACTGAATTTACTAAATTTATAGGACAATTTCATTACTGTCTATAGAGGGACTTCTCAGATAATTGATTGGGGATTAAGTTACATCTTCCAAGATGGCAAAGAGAAGGTATTTGAATCTTGGGAGAAAACAACTATAGAAAAGTGAATCCCCAGGGAGGGGGTACTGTAGAAGGTTTGAGTTTTCAATCTCAAAAGAACACAGACATGTGTATTAAAAAGGTCAGCTGCTATGCTGGAGGAGGCAGCTAGCCAAGATCGCAAAGATTGAGGCCAAATGAACTGGCCCTGAAAATTGTAGGGCAAATGGCGGTTTTAGACAATAGCAAATAAAATCTGTCCAAGTGCATCTATTTTCCTTTACGAAAAGGTGAGCAGAGGCAACTAGAGTCATTTCTTTGTGGAAAGAGTTTCTCAGCTCTAATTACTCCCGATAGCTGTAATTTACAAGTTTTGGATGAGTAGAAATCACCAAGATTCACACGTTTTCAGACCAACAGCTGTCACTATTAGTGAGCAAATTGCTAAGTCTTCTGCACGGTGGCAGTCAACTGGCTATCTGTGGCACAGTCAGGTGACAAAGGAGAAGTGCAAGGAGACTAGCCACACCAAGAGGCCTCTGGTAGCTCTGCTCCCTGTGGGGAGGGCCATGAGGCAAATTGTTGAGATGAAAATTATAACCACCATCACAGAAATAATTTCACCTGCCTCTCTTCCCCTTCACATGAAGTACAGATTGGTACATACCGTGCAAAGAAGGACGCCTGTTTTGGAATGTGAAAATTCTTGAAACACAGTTGTTCTCTCCTATGAAAAAAAAAAAAAAGAAAGAAAAATAGGACCTTATTCTAGTGGCCATGTGGTATTCAGCTGAGTGGATGTACCATCATTTATGTGTTCAACGACAACTGAGGTTGTCTCCAATTTTTTACTATTAGAAACACTGCTATGATTAACACTTTTGTAGATAAACTGTTGCACCCATTCTTAATTACTCCCTTGGGTAAAATTCCTAAAAGCGGACTTACTTGATCAAAGGGTATGTAGAATATTTTCTGCATGAACTTGCAAAGATAAAATTCTGATTGGGTCTAAGTCACTGCATTCCAAGTAGTTGAGGCTTGGTCACAAAATTGGGAAGAAGAAAAAAAAATGAAGTCTCTCCTGCTCTGGCCCAGTCACTATGCTGTTTTGGTGTACTTTATTCTGGTCTCCATGCTTATACAAGGAGGCTTCAAAGAGTTTGTGGAAACATCCCATTATCTTTTAATTCCATCTTTACAAAATGAACTTTTTGAAGCCCCCTTGCACTTCGTCACATACCAGGAGCCCCAAGGTATGCCTTACTTAAAACATTAAATGTGAATGTCAAAATAATGATCACCATTCAGAACATCTACCATGTATTTATCTAATTCTGTACTTACCTAATTCTAGTACCCTATGAGTAAGTGCTACCTTCATCGCTGTTTCCCAAATGAAGAAACTGAGAGACTAAAAAGTGAAAATAGCCGGTTTAAGGGACACACAACTAGTAAAGTCCTGCCATTGAAGCCGGGGAGTTGAATTTCAGAGTCAGTGCTCAGATCCTCGACAGAAATCTTGCCACACAGTTTTTACAAGGATCACTTTTAATGGTTGTATTGTGGAAACTACAAACTATGAATACACTGTAAACTATGAACTATGAACAAGCAAACCATTCCTGAAATACAGATTAATAGTAACAATGGTGCCAAACATCTGTTGAGCACTTCCTTTGTGCCAGGTCCTGTGCCAAGTGCTTTATCTAAATGAACTCAATGAATCTTCACAATAGCCTATAAAGTAAGTGCTATTATTATCTTCATTTTAGAGATATGAAAACTGGGGTCACAAGGCCAGGAAATAGCAGAGCCATGATGAAAACACAGCAGTTTCCTCCCAAAGTTGTACAGCTGAAAACTCTGTACTAGACTACTGCCTGGCTATACTGTGAGACAGCGTGGTATCTTAAGACAAAGAAGAAATAATTTAACCTCAGAATCTTTCATATGATCCATTCAAATTCCTACAATTCATATCCAGCTCCTTATCTTTGGACCTATCTTTTCAAAATGCCTCTGGTAAAACAGACCCACAGGACAAGCAAATAAGAAAATAACAAAACGAATCCAAAGGTAATAAAGAATGAAATGAATGGGAAATTCTGTATAATCTTGTGGTAGAGAAGTCATGTCCTTGAGTGACCTTGAGCATGTTCGGCTTTCTGGGCCTCCATCTCCTTAATTATTCAAATATAACAGCCAAGAAGGGGCTGGACTGGATGCCCTTTAATGTCCCGTAACTTAGCTCTAAAAACCGTTCGGGTTTTTAAGCTGGTTTTAATCAGCACATGCCTAGGTGGCTCTTCCTCTCGTTTCCGATTTTCCAAGCTGCCTGGTAACTTCTCCTTCAGGACAAGATGGGTCCTCTTTCCAAGCCCTTCTCATCCTTTCTGTCACGATTCCTATGAGCACACCTAGCCTCCATATTCCACCCAAGTCTACATGGATGGGCCACTTAATAATAGTAGAACAAGAGCCATGCAGCTAAGTAGCTAAAATAAGAAAAATGATACAATCTTCTTCCCGAACACAATCGTACTTTGTGCCAAAAGAGAACTCAAACTCTCAAGCCCCTTTGGTACACAGTACGTTCTCCCACACCGAAGTGTTAGGAGCGAAAGCTCTGTATCTTGTTGACAATGACAGCAGTCACGCTCAGCAGTACCATATGGGATCCACAATTTAGCTCCATTAATGCTCTTAATTTGAAGACATCAAGCCCTAATTACACACTGGGTACTAAAAAGGCAAAACCCTTCCCTGGTGCCAGCTACTTAGTGGTACTCTGTTGCCTTAACAGCTGGTTGAGGTAGAGTCAGGCCAAGCTGGGGCCTGTGAGCGCTCTCAGGTGGAAGAGGCCAGTAAGCAGGGACAATATGGCCCAGCCCCTGAAGCAAAAGCAAACAGGAGACAATAGATTTCTCTTGCTCACCTTAATGCAGTAGTGTGATCCCCTTCTAGTTCCTGGAGGTTGCCCATTTTAGGTGAAGCCTCCCCCAGCCCAGTGGAGTCTGTGAGGGACACAACTCCATGTTGCCCTAGAGGATGACTTCAGATAGGACTGGGTTTTCATTCCCTTTTCCAGTCTGAAGGTGGTAAGAGACGAAGTGCTCACCTCCTGTTCCATGTTGCCATGCAGCCGCAGGAATTTTAATCGCATGGAGGCAGATGGTAACTGCCCTGATGCTGGGGCCCCTGAGCTGCTCAGCAGGGTCTGGAGGAAGAGGTTGTAGTGGAACTCCACCAGCTCACAACTTGAAAAAAAAACAATCATCTTCTGGTCCTTTTCAAACTATATCAATACACAGGAGGAAACAAACAAACAAAATCCCACAAGTTTTGAAGATCAGGTGATACTGAGATGAATATTTCACTAAAATACAAAGTCACAATGGCCTTGGAGACAGAGGTGACAAATGACTTTGAATTATTAAAAAATAACACTGATATGTAACTCTTTATGCGTATAGCAGAAAAAAAAAATGATACAGCTATCCTCGAAAACATTTCCTTATCTTTGGTTTTCCTTCCCATTCAACATGACGGCACCTAACAACGATTCTTTGAAAACACGAACACAGGCCCCTATATATACCTGACACCCGCATTTCTGCCACCTATAATGTTCTCAGTATTAGTCCCAGGGAAGTACTTAGACCAGATTTCAAGATGAACATACTGGCTATCATTGGCCTCTAACTTTTCACTAGAATCCTAGAACCACTGAAAGGATATCTTAATACTGAGTTAGGTTACAAATTTTTTCTTTTTTGATGTCCGAATGAACTACTGAAATCCAAAATAAATTAAACAGGTCTTCTGGGTCTCAAGCCAGGTCTAGTTTACAGTCCTACCTTGCATTTCTGAAGGATGAAGGCTGCTAGGCAGACAAGCCTCAGTTTGCTGGGAACTAAAGTCACGTGCTGATCGAGCCTCTCTGGTATTGCAAAGCTGTCTAGCTTGTTACTACTCTGTGGACGAGACACTTCATGGGCTGCTTTGTCCTTTGCATTAGACCGGTCATCGTTTTCATCCAGAACTGAAATACTGACTGGATTGTGCAAACTGATACCAGCTAGCCATGTCACACCTTTAATAAAAAGTGAAAAAGGCAAAGCAGTGACAAGCAGACACTATGAAACTGGTTACACAGGCACACCCAAACACACCACATATTGAGGTATATTAAAAAACTCCCAGTTGGTATCATTCAGGTTCTAGCACCGATAAATCCTATTATCAATCTGGTATGGCAGACCATTGATTTCATCTATACCAGTGTTGCCTGAACTCTGCTCCATAGAAGACCAGTTCAAAAGGATAACACGTTTGCTCACCACACCCTAAAAAAGAGGTCTAGATAAAGTAATTTATAAAAATCTTGGATTAAAAACACAAGCTTTCTCAGAACCTTTGTTGAATCCCCAGAGATTTCTCCAAACTAATGTTACTTAGAACACACTTTAAGAATTGCTGGTAAGTAATACGCTGGCAACTGCCTATAATAAAGCGGCTTCTATATCAAGATGGGAGTCCTGGTGTGGCACTGTGGGCTAATGCATCAGACTGCAAACTCATTTGAACGGCAAGGTCAGTGGTTCAAGTTTACCAGTCGCTCCTTGGAAACCCTATACGGGGTTGCTATGGGTTGGAATCCACTTGGCACGTAACAACAACAACTTATCAAGATGAGCACCATTAGCATGCTCCATTCTTGAAAGGATCTGTTTCTGGGACCCACCCTTTCTCTCCATGCCCTAGGGAAAGTATCAGAGGATGTAAAAGAGGGAGTTAGGAGTGAGGATGTAGAGTTTCAAAGAGTAGTTATCTAAGGACACTTGGCTCCCTCCCTATCCTCAACCCTTTAGGTTGATAATTAATGCCTGTAAGTCCTACTTCTTCGTGAAAAATCAGAAAATCCCTATCACTTTTTTCAACCCACCTTCTGTGAGTGTTGCCGATAGCAAGACATTCTGTCGATTCTGGCATTCTGCATTTACAGCATTAAGTATCACTGTGAGGTCCTTTTCAAAACCCAAATCCAAGAGTCTATGGTTTCAAGAGAAGGAATTTTAATCTATGAGAAGAATAAATGTGATACTAAGGGGCAACAAAAGTTGAAATGGCAGTAGAAACAATTATTTTCAATCTTTCAAGCTTCCCGGACAAAACTTACCTGTCTGCTTCATCCAAAATCAGCCACTGTAACCGACTAAAATGTATGTTCTTTGTGGATTGTATATGATCCACGAGACGTCCAGGAGTTGAGATAAGGATATTTATTCCTTTACGGAGTCTGTTTAAAATTATCACAAGATATCAAAAGAAAGTAAATCAAATAGGACTGTAACAATAAAACAAGGTAGAGGAGATAGATTCACGTATATCACAAATGTGTCATAGCTTGAAATAATGACAAAAAATAAAACAAATGTATATTAAAAAAAAAGTACATTTGTTTTAAATTTCTCCTCAATAGTTTCTCTTCCATCAAATTTTATTCAGATCTGAAATAATATAACATTCTTAAAACTTTGAAAGGAATCATAATTATATAATCCAATGCTCTATTAGATCCATATATCCTTTCTAAAACATTACAGATAGGTAGTCATCTAGTCTACTCTTTGAATGCTTCTGTCCAGTATTCCATATCAAGGTACTCTGATAGAACATTTATTCTTTAACTAAATCCTTCTTGTAACTTCTCTAACATTTAGAGGTGATAGCTCCCCACTGACTTGGTATGTCCTTTTACATGGGAATAAGCAGGACGCAGTTGAGACATTTAGTTGAGAATTATTTAGTGAACATCATACATGAAGAAAGCAAAAAGTCATTATGAAAACAAGAAAGAAGAAAAAGTTCAAAATGGATGCCAGAAGAGACACTGAAACTTGCTCTCCAGCGTAGAGATGTTAAAGCAAATGGAAGAAATGAGGAGGTCCAAGAGCTGAACAGAAAATTTCAAAGATCAGCTTGAGAAGATAAAGCCAAATATTACAACAAAATATGCAAAGATCTAGAATCAGAAAACCAAAAAGAACATGCTCAGCATTTCTCAAGCTGGGGGAACTGAAGAAAAAATTCAAGCCTCAACTTTCGTTACTGAAAGATTCTCTGAGCAAATTATTGAATGATGCAGAAAGCATCAATAGAAGATGGCAGGAATACACAGTCACTGTACCAAAAGGAAATGGTTAATGTTCAACCATTTCAAGAAGTAGCATATGATCAAGAGCCAATGATACTGAAGGAGGAAGTCCAAGGTGCATTGAAGGAATTGGCAAAGAAAAAGGCACAAGGAATTGATGGAATAAAAATTGAAATCTTTCAAGAAAGAGAGGCAGCACAGGAGGCACTCACTCATCTCTGCCAAGAAATTTGGAAGACAACTATCTGGCCGATTGATTGGAAGAGATCCATATTTGTGCCCATTCCAAAGAGAGGTGACCCAACGGAATGTGGAAATCATTGGACAATCTCTTTGATATCCCATGCGGGGAAAGTTTTACTAAAGGTAATACAGAAATGGCTGCAAGCATACAGTGATAGAGAACTTTCAGAGATTCAAGCCAGATTCAGAAGAGGCCGTGGAACGAGGGATATCATTGCTGATGTCCGATGGATCTTGGTGAAAGCAGAGAATATCAGAAAGATGTTTACCTGTGCTTTATTGACTACGCAAAGGCTTTCGATTGTGTGGATCATGACAAGCTATGGACAACATTGCAAAGTATGAGTATTCCGGAACACTTAATTGTGCTTATGAGGAATCTGTACCTGGACCAAGAGGCAGTTGTTTGAACAGAACATGGGAACACTGAATGGTTTAAAATTAAGAAATGTATGTGACAAGGTTGTATTCTTTCACCATACTTATTCAACCTGTATGCTGAGCAAATAATCCTAGAAGCTGGGTTCTATGAAGAAAAACGTGGCATCAGGATTGGAGGACGACTCATTAACAACCTGCGATATGCAGATGATACAACCTTACTTGCTGAAAAGTGAAGAGGACTTAAAACATTTACTGATGAAGATCAAAGACCACAGCCTTCGGTATGGATTACATCTCAATGTAAAGAAAACAAAATCCTCACCACTGGACCAATAAACAACATTCTTATCATCGGAGAAAAGATCGAAGTTGTCTAGGACTTCATTCTTCTTGGATCAACTATCAACACTCACGGAAGCAGCAATTAAGAAATCAAACAATGTATTGCATTAGGCAAATCTGCTGCACAAGACCTTTTTAAAGTATTGAAGAGCAAAGATGTCAGCTTGAGGACTAACGTGTGCCTGACCCAAGCCATGGTATTTTCAATAACTTCATATGCATGTGAATGCTGGACAATGAGTAAGGAAGACTGCAGAATTGATGCTTTTGAGTTATGGTGTTGGAGAAGAATATTGAAAGTGCCATGGGCTGTCAAAAGAACCAATAGATCCGTTTTGGAAGAAGTGCAGCCAGAGTACTCCTTCGAGGCCAAGATGGCCAAACTTGGTCTCTCATACTTCGGGCACATTGTCAGGAGGGACCAGTCGCTGGAGACGGATATCATGGTTGGTAAGGTGGAGGGTCAGAGAAAAAGAGGAAGACCCCTAAAGAGATGGACTGGCCAAGTGGCAGCATCAGTGGACTCAAGCGTGGCAACAGTAGTGAGGTTGGCCCAGGATCAAGCAGTGTTTCATTCTGCTGTGCATAAGGGTGCTATGAGTCGGTACCGACTCGATGCATCTAACAACATTATTTAGTAGGAAGGCAGGTCCAACACACTTGAAAGGAAAAAACAAAAAACTCCTCTTACCTGGCCTTTTCTGATTTTCTCTTCTCCCCGCCCATTAACACTCCAGGCACAATCCAGGTAAATGGCTACATAAAGACAACAGACCCAAATCAAAGAAAGCGAAGCTGAAAACCCACTGACTGATTCTGAATTATTTTTCCTTAAACAAATAGGGACAGTGGATCTAGGCTTCTCAATACATTAAGTGTTATTGTACAGACACAATTCCTAGGCACAGACACAATTCCTAGGCATTGACACACCCACGGTTACTATCAACAGAAACTTGTATGGCACTGTGGGTTAATGCGCCAGACTGCATAGAAGTGAACTGCTAGGTCGGAGGTTTAAGCTCACCAGCTGCTTCTCGGAAACCTTACACAGGGTCGCTATAGGTCAGAATTGACTCAACAGCATTTAACAAGAATAACAACTTGATTCCATTGCAAGATATATGTAAGCATTTTGTTTTGTTTTTAAAGATACAAGTAGACACTATAAACCTTTTGCCTTTTACCATGAAGCCTGCATTAAAAACACATTTTGGTTAAGTCTATTTTTCTTTCTTTTTTTGCTTGTTTAAGATAAAACCCCAGCACAATGCTTCTCTAATCTCCCAACTTCTTGTTAAAAGAAAGTATGGATTGATTTTTTCTCATTTGGTGAGTTGGCAGGTTTCGATTTTCAAGCCTTCCTTCTTAAATGCTACTTTTATCATTTTATGTTGCTTTCTGCTGAATCACTTTATGGCGGTCCCTAGGAATATCTGTATGTTGTTTATGACTGCTTAACCACAAGGTCAACAGTTCAAATCGACCAGCTTCTCTGTGGAAAAAGATAAAAGCTTACTGCTCTTGTAAAGATGCCTTGGAAACCCTATATAGGGTTGCTAGGAGTATAAACCAACTCCATGGTACACCAGCACCAGGAATCTTTTATAGTTATTTGAATTTAAAGACTGTGGTATATTTCCTTTCCCTCAAAAAATCAGAATAAAAGATCTAACAACTTACAGCTTACCTTACCTTAAGCAGTTTCTGGACAGTGTCAAAGCTTTGTAAAGCCAACTGTAAAGAATATGACAAAGTTAGAGATGATGAGTAGGGCCCTTTCTCATTTGTTCTTTTTTTTAAGATAATATAAAGCCACTAGGATACAAATTTAGACTTCAAGTGAAGATTTAAGGGGGGGAAATTGGTTATACATAATTTATTCTGAAATATATTCTGTTCTTAGACTGATCCTGAAACTTGGAAAAATGTAAAGACATCACATCCTTCCTTAGACAAAAACAGTGTTTTGTGCTCCCTCTGCTGGTTCAAATTCCCAGAGTACCACCACAAAAGTGCAAGTCTATGGTGCACAAAGGGAGGAAATTAAACAAAACCAACCAGACTCTGATGCTCTTTATAAAGAAAAATAATATAAGTACGTGTAAAAGGATAAACTAGGGCATTCTGGTAGAGTGGTTACGAATTGGGCTGCGAACCTTAAGGTCAGCAGTTCGAAACTCCCAGCTGTTTCGGAGAAGAAAGATGAGGCTTTTTGCTCCCGTAAAGATTTCCAGCCTCAGAAACCCTGTACAGGGTCGCTATGAGTCGAAACCAACTTCACAGCATATAACCAACCACCACCAAAAGGATACATTAGAATAGTAATGCAACCACCTGGCTTTAGGAACTTTGCTTTATCCTAAGAATATGGCAGGCTAAAGGAATAGCTAAAGACTGAGAAACAGTCACTCTGCCAAGTTTATAAAAACTAAAATGAAGCAAACAAGCCCAGTGGAAACCAGCTAAAGTACAAATTAATGTAAAGTATAACTATTAACTAACATCAAAAGTCTTTGCAGAATTCCTTTATCCAGAAATATATACAATCCCCACACATTTAGTATTCATGACGCATCCTAGAGAAGTAGCAAGTTTCCTGCTGTAAAAATTTAAATAGCTTCTGTGCCTGCTTTTTCATTGGACCGAGCAGATATAGGGCACTGCAGGCTGTATAAAAGGCTGAGCTGAAACCTCCATCTCCATGATCAGTTCTCTTCAAGGAAGTGCTTAGCATTTGATACAGAAACCAGACACCCTAATCTGAATTTGCCTCTGCAGGCAAATAAAATAGATCATATAGAAGAGACTGCCAGCAAGAAAAGAGGAAAACAATTTTCTGAGAAGCTTAACTTTTAGGAACAAGTAAAATGGTAAAATTCTTGGTAGCAGCAGTAGTTCCTTTAAAAAAATAAAAAAACATTCCATTTCAGAGCCAATTCTTTTGCTTTTTAATTGAGCTATTAAAACCGCCCCCCCCCAAAAAAAAACAAAACCCCATCAAAATGTGATTATTTTAATCCATTTTAAAGGAATAGAAATTTGTGGTATCATTAGTTTTTAGACAACAGGGAAATGTTTTTTCATTTTTCAGAGTACTTGAATTCTTCTTGATAGGAACCAAAGGATTCCTATGGGAAGAAACAGAGTGTACAGAGGTTTGTGAAGTAGAGAGAAAAAAACAGATTTAAGGTTATCACTAAAAGTACTTACTTAAAACTTGCCTTGAAGTGAGATAGCTTACCTCTCTCGTTGGCACTAGTACCAGAGCATAGGGGCCATCACTGCGCTGTTGACAGAAGGAAAGAAATGCCATGAGCAAGAACAACTACCATAGGACTCCTGATGGACAGAACTTAGAGTGGCCAGTTGTAAAACATTAGACACACTCTCATTTAAGAAAGGAACAAGGCAAAAACGCCAACTATCTCCATTTATTATGTAACATTGTTTTAGGGGTTCTGGCCCATACAGTCACATGAGAAAGAAACATGAAGCATAAAATTTGAAAGAGGAGGATAGGCAATCATTTTTAGCAGATGACATTATTTTATTCTAAAAGAAAACTTTAATAGATTCAACCAAAAACTATCACAAAATAATTCCGGCAGGTAAATAGAATGCAAAATAAATGTGAAAAAAATCAACAGCCTTCCTACTCAGAAAGAAAACACAATATAAAGGGGAGGGGGAGTATCACATAATAGCAATTAAAAAAAAAAAAAAAACATATGGGAAAACTCCATATGGGAAAAAAATTTTTTTAAACATCTGATTATCCTTGGATAAGAAGATTTAATATTAGCCTGTTCTTTCTAATGCATGGAGTATAGGTGGCTCTGTAGGATAAGCACTGGACTGAAAACCAGAAAGTTGGTGTTTCTATTCCACCAGTTGCTCTGCAATATAAAGACACAGCTTTCTACTCTTGCAAAGATTTACAGTCTCAGAAAATTTATACAGGGTTGCTATGAGTCAAAACTAACTTGACAGCACTTAACAACTTTAATCCATAACATTAATGCAATTTTAATAAAAAAGCCTCTAATATATACATACACCATACACACACATATATAAAATGATACATACACCATACACACAAATGTATAAAATGTTACTCATCACCAAATTTTAAAGTTCTCATGGAAAAATTAATGTGCAAATAAAACCAAGATATATCTGGGAAAAGAGAGATTAATATAATATTAACCCTTTCAGATGTTAAGACAATTTAAAAATTTGATAATAAACCATCCCCAAAACAAAAGGGAACAAAAGCTAGACAGGGAACAGCATGCATTACATGCAGCCATATATCAAATCAAATCAAACAAAACAGAACAGCAAATTAAAAAACCCTTCAACAGAAAACATAGTCTAGAATTGATCCAAATACACACAGAAACGCAAGAAATAATGTTATTGTTGTTGTTCAATGATGTCAAGTTGGTTCCGACTCATAGTGGACCCGGTATAGGCTTTTCAAGGAATGGCTGGTGAGTTTGAACTGCCGACCTTGCAGTGAGCAGTCCAGTGCTTATATAGCGCCACACCAGGAGTCCACAAATAACATAATGGACATTTTACATAGGTTAGAAAAGAGAATTCAGAAGTCCTTTGATAAAATTCAGTTGTTCATTTTACAGATGACACAAAATTCAAAAAGTGTAAGGAAAATATTGATACATTTTATTATATAAAAATAGCAAAATACCTAAACAAAATCAAGAGTCAAATAACAATCTAGGGGGAAAAGATGCCCATAGAAGAGAAAGGGCTAATTTCTTTAACTTACAAGGAATCAAACAAACAAAAAAGGTTCAACAACTCAAGTAGAAAAATGGAGTAAGCATATAAATAGCTAATAATTGAAATATGAATTCCAAATATAGCTTTTACACATATGAAAACATATACAATGTTACTTATTAGAGAAATTTAAAATTAAAACTATAAACTGGTATTCCACCTGCCAAGTTAGCAAAAACAAAATAATTGGCTGTGCTGATGAGGGTAGTGGCAAATAGGAACTCATACACTGCTAGTAGAAATGCAAACTGGAATAAGGCTTTGGTGGTCAACTTGGCGCTACTAGCTAACAAATAAATATGCAAACTCCATTTACAGGAATTTCTCCTACAGATATACCCTTCTATGTGCAAAAAGATATCATAGACTATTTTACAGACTGTCAACTATTTATAATAGCTTTTGTTTATAGAAAAATATTGAACATAATGTAAATCCCACCAATAAAGCTCTGATTCAATAATTTGTAGTACATACACAAAATGAGGGAGTCCTGGTGTGGTGCTGTGGGTTAATGTACTGGACTGCAAGGTTGGTTTGAACCACAAGGTCGGCAGTTCAAGCTCATCAGCTGCTCCTCAGAAACCCTATGAAAACCTTCCTTATAATTAAATTTGCTATTAAATCTAAGTTTCACTTCTATGGTAGTGTAGTGGTTACAAATCGGGCTGCTAGCTTCAAGGTCAGCAGTTCGAAAATACCAGCTGTTCTGCATGAGAAAGATAAGGCGTTCTACTCCCATAAAGACTTAAATCCTCGGAAACCCGATGCAGGGTCTCTATGAGTCGGAACCGACTCCACGGCACATAACAACAACGTAACAACATTGGTTACTATTACTTGGAACTGACTCGACAGGCATTTAACAACAATTACACACAATGAAAAATTAAGACACCATTAAAGAAAACTAAGGTAGCTCTATATGGTACTGATAAGAAACCATCCCCAAAACATAAGGGAACAAAAGTAAGACACAGAACAGCATGCATGACAAGCAGCTATTTATATATGAAATCAAGTCAAACAAATCTGTAAAGCAAATTTCAAAAACCCTTCAAGTAGAAGGAGGAAGGGAGCTATGCATACTCATATTTGCTTGCTATGCAGAGCCTACCCCAGGAGAATATACCAAATCAAAAAATCAAACTCACTGCCACTGAGTCAATTCCAACTCACGGGCAACCAAATAGGACAGAACAGAACTGCTCCTTAGGATTTCCTCATCTTTTTCCAGAGGAGTGGCTGGTGGGTTTCACCACCAATCTTGTAGTTAGCAGCCCAATGCTCAACCCAATTATGTCCACTATATTTAAAAATAACAATAGTAATAAAAGAAAACAAGGTGGTCTAATAAAGGCTCTTATGTCAGTGGTGCCTTGCACATTGAAAAGGCTTACACATGTACTGAATGAATCTAAACAATGTCAGTATAAAGAAAAAAAAATGTTACTATAGAGAAGTGAAACTCAGATTTAACAGCAAATTCAATTACAAGAAAGGTTTTCATGTTTTGTTTTAGGAAACATTTATCCACAGAGAGGAAAGGATTTGAAATTCAAACTAGAGTTCTCTGTACTCAACATCAACTTTGTGAGACTACACTGAAGCTTAGACGAGGAACAGTAAACACGTTAGTACAACAATATCAACGTGCCACTGTGTGACGTTAGGAGATTCTGACATTTCAAAAGGTGTTACTACACAGAGAAGAAGAAAGAAAAATCAATTCCTCGCAGGGCAGAAGTGAGCAAGGAAGGATGAATGTGATGTTAGAAAAATCAGAGCCAAAATAACTGAAAGAGTGAAAACAGAAAAACAGTCCATTCTTATTCTATCACCAAAGTAATTTAAGAATCGGTTGGGTGCCTAGAATTTGCTGCTCTCTCCAGATATGGTCTTTACAGGTCAGATCATTATATGAGGAACTCCAAGGGATTCTACTGAAATAAGTAAATGAAATTGGAGCTTGGAAAACTATGTTTATAAAGAATACATTTCCTTTCATAGAATCGGCTGTTATCATTCTATGAAAGACAATGTTTGAAAAAAAAAATGAAATCAGAGCAAATATACTAAAAAAATACTACATGATGTGCTAATGGTTCTGATTATAAGCAAATGAAAGCACTGCCCTTCAAACTCATTTGACCTTGTTGATGATGATAACTAATACACAGGCATTGGGTACCAGGTTAAGGAGCTCTGGTGACACAGTGATTAAGCACTCAGCTGTTAACCAAAAAGTTGGTGGTTCAAACCTATTAGCTGCTCCCATAAAGATTACAATCCTCAGAAACCCTGTGAGTCGGAATTCATTCAGCAGCAACAGGTCTAGGGTTTTGTTTTGGTTGGTTTGAATGCCAGTTCTCAATACTTAACATGCATTAACTCACTTAATCTAGAAGACAGGTACAGCTACTAGCCCCTTAACACAGCTGAAGACACTGAGGGATGAAATGATTTGCCTAAAGTCACACGTGGAACCAGGATTTATGCAGAACCATCCATCACACTGTCCACTTTCGGTAAGTTATCGGATCGCTCCACTTCACAGATTTATGGACTCAAGGTTGAGTAGACCTCTAGGACTCATTCCAGTGGAAAATTCACCAAACTCTCCAACCTTGTAGGAGGAAGAACTTCTACTAGCGAGAGAGTCTCTTGGAGTACGTAAGTGGATGCAATTGTTTTATTAGTATTACTGCAATAATTTACGTTTGTTTCTTACTATGTACCATATACAATGCTGAAGCACTTGACATGAATTATCTTGGTTAAAAGCGCTTAATGGAAAAAAATCATTGTCAGGAAACAAAATGTCTCACACCTCAGAGAAAATGAATATTAATAGTTTGAAAAGTATTTGTCTAGTCTTTTTTTTTTTAATGTTTTATTGTGAATTATGTGATAGTTTACATGGGAGAACATTAGTTTTACATTCATCCTATCGTATGTCGTTTCATTGCCATGGTTACAATCCCCTCCATGCATCATCAACCAACCAAAGTGTCTACCCTGCAAGCCTACCCCCCAGTCATCAACACACAGCCCCTCTCCCTCTCTGGGTCTAAAGTCCCCAGCCACTCCATCTCTCCACATCATCGTCTCTGCCTCCATCTCTGGTGTCACTGCTTCTCTGAGTAGTGTCCTGCTCTGCGCTCTTCTCCCTTGATGGTCCCAGGGACCTCCACTCCTAGACTGAAAAAGTTAATCACTCCCCTCCTTGTTACAAAAAGTCTACATTTCCAACCCTCACAATCAATCCTGATAACAATTATTCACTATTGTATCACAAGAGACCTATCCACATTTCATCAGCCGCGCCTAGACAGATTGGTTACTACTCAGTGGAGATTCTACCTTCCTTCACACCCTCTAGATCTAGGTTCCCTCTTGAAAGCTTGTAAGCCAGTCACTTCTTGCCTTTGAAGCTCCCCCATTTAGGGTAGTCATTGTCCAAGTTTCCCATCCCTGTGTATGGAGGGGGTGGGAATGATTCTTGCTGTAAAGATTTGTTCCCTCTTTCGAACTACTGCATCCATAGGTGTAGGTCAGGTTCATCAAACAGTATCAGATTACATTTTTTTCCCCTCTTCTTTCTTCCGCTAGCTGAGTTCTGATCATCCAGTCATTGAAGCCAGGTCAAGTGGGTATTATCTGCAAATGTGGGTGTTCTTGTGCATATGCCTTCTCTTCTTATCAGCTGGATACTTCACTCTCCACTCTAGTTCTCTGTGGCTATGTCACTGACTCTGGACCCAGGAGTCCCAAGGTCTTGCCACACTGCTAGGCCAACCAGATCTCCACCTGGGTTCACAGGAGTCTATTGAACATTGTAGGGCTTAGCTCGTAGCTTCATTGCTGTTTTTCCCTCACTTCCCCTTGTCAGTGACTGTCTATAGTTTTTTTGTGCATATACACACATAGGTTATTACTATTTATGAAACTGGGGTCACTGTTATACATACTGTTCATGGAGTCAGTATTATAAATACTGTTTTGTTGCCTAGCTTTTTTCACTTGACATCTGCTCAAGTTAACAAACAGTAAATTGAAAAAAAGTACTACTTCTAAAGGCTATATAGGTGCTTTCCTTTTATTGACTAAAAAATGTTTTTAATCTATTAATTTTGAAATAATTTGGCATACAAGAAATTTACAAATCTAGTATTAAGAATTCCCACATACCAGTTTCCCAGTTTTCTCAAATGCTAACATTTTTTATTAACCACAGTACAAATCTGAAAACAAGAAAATTAACATTGATCAATGCTATTCATTAATCTACAGATCTCATTCAAATTTCATTAACTAAACTATTAGTGTCCTTTTTCTGGACTAGGATCCGATCCAGGACTACATGTTGCATTTATCTGGCATGTTTCCTTAGTCTCTTTTAATATGGGACAAGGTTTCAGTTAATCTTTGTCTTTCATGACCTTGATCCTTTCAACACGTACTGGCCAAGGTGTAGAATGCCCCTTGATTTGAATTCCTCACAGTTAAATTCAGGTTATGCATTTTTTTTGTTAAAATACCACAGAGGCAACAGAAGCCAGGATTCTCCATGGTAAAGTTACTGTCTTTCCCTTTGCAATTAAGCAGTAGCTAGCTTTAGGGAGATACTTTGAGACTATGTATACTACCCTGCTTTCCATCATACTTTCCCACTATTTTTAACATCCATGAAGAGTCTTCTCTGAAACAATATTATTGTGGCATTTGCCAAACGGTGATGTTTAATTTCCATCACTCCTGCATTCATTCACCGGCATACAAAGGCACTCTGGTGGTGCTGTAAGCTCTGGGTTGCTCCACTCGACAGGAGTCAGGAATTCAAATCAAGGGGCATTCTATAACTTGACCAGTACTTGTGAGAAAGTATGACAGAAAGCAGAGTAGTATACATAGTCTCAAAGTATCTCCCTAGAAGCTAGCTACTTCTTAAACTTTACCATGAGGAATCCTGGCTTTTGTTGCCTTAACTTAGTGATGCAAGTTGGTGTCATCACCAGTACTGAGCTATGTTGGTCTCATGTGCCTCCTGGTAAGAGGAGGCTTTATGCTCCCAGAAAGATTTACAGCCTCGGAAGCACTGTACGGTGTGGTTATGAGTTGGAATGGACTGAATAGCAGTGAGTTTTGGTTTATTCTACTATAAGGAAGGGAGGGCCTTTCCTCCTCCATTTATTCAATTATTTATTTCTATCAGTTTGGATTCACTCCTGGGATATTTATTTTATTCTAAGAGTTACATAAGTCTACAGGTTATAATCCATATAATGGCCGAACGAGCACTTGACTATTAACCAAGGGTGGGATTTTTAATCTACCCAGCAGCACCTTGGGAAAAAAGGCCTGGTGACCTACTTCTAAAAGACCACAACTAGTGAAAAACCTATGGAGCTCAGATTTACTCTGAACACGTGTTGCCATGAATCGACTTGATGGCAACTGGTTTCCAAGCTGGAAACTACGTAGGACAAAGAGACCTGATCCTTACATAGCAAGATGTCCATAATGAACCCTCGTCATAAAAACACAGCATGCTTAAACAATCAATAAATAAGGAGGATTCAGATGCAGACAGTGCAGACCCGGTCAGGAGGCCAAGCCCCTGTGGGCCCAAGCGTTGTTGACCGTCCAAACCATAGGCTCTGAGGATCAGACTCTAGCCACCTAGTAGACATAGCAAACTGTCCCTAATCTGATTATTCAGTAATGCTTGTTAGTAATCTCATACATGAGCCCTGGATATCCACAGACAAATGTAAAAACCTTCCCTAAAAGCCGAGACTGTAAATTCCAAAAAGGCAAGTCCCCCCCCAATCCAAAAAAAAAAAAAAAGCTAAAGAGCATAGAGAGAAACACTGTAAACCGATGATATATGGAGGGGATAATAATCAATGTAATGAAACAAGCTATATGAATGGTTGACTGTGAAGCTGATGATGTGCCCTGTAAACTTTCACTCAATGCAAAATAAAAACATTTAATTTAAAAAAAAAACAAAACAAAAAAACACAGCATGGAGTGAGGAGTTTAGCCTCTGAACACAGGAGAACTGAAGTGGAAATCCACTTCCATCATTACACGATGCATGACAGTAACAAGTTATTTACATTAACTTTCCAATTGGTAAACAACTTTGGGGAAGGGGAGAGAGATGGTGTTTAAATATTCAAATAATGTATGCAAAGAAGCATTCAGCACAGCACTTGACACACGGGGCACATTTTTCAATATTCCTTATCATATCAACTATGATGATTATGAAATATGTTTATTCTACTCTGGCCACAGTCTTTAGCAATAGTTTGTTTACATAATAAATGAATTAAAAGGCAACAAGAACACAAAGCTAAGTGAAAACAGTCTTTCTATTCCAATATTATTACTATGGTTCAGTCTGATGGTTATGTGTGCATTATGTAATAGAAAAAAACCACATCTTATACGCACCTGTATTTTTGATTTCATTGCTTGAAGGGATTGGACAACAGGGACGCAGTAGGCAAGAGTTTTACCTTTTCAAAAAAGTATAAAAGCAATTAAAATCACAGTCCCTACAAATGTAAGAGCAATGGCCGGCCATAAACGAGATGAGCTGTTATCTTTGGGTCATACCCAATTCTAGGACAAGAAAGAACGCACATCGTACAGTCATGAGGGGTGAGTAGGTAGTTCACCTGTCTTCTACAACTCCTAATTTGCTTTGTAATTTAGTAATGCTAGGAAGCCTGAAGCTTCAGCTCCTTTACCCATCTAACAAGGGAGAGAATGACACATTTACTAAATTACACAAAAGCCCAACTTGATAGTTGCATTTAGAAATTAGAGGACTCCTTCTCTGAAGTCTTCCCTAATCTCTTAGATGCGCTTAAGTGCTCAATTAAAAGTTCTCTGCAGGGGCAGTTGGAATCCAACTAAAGCAGTTTTCTGTGTTCAGCAGACTGATTGGAGTTCAATAGTGTATGTTCATGGCAGAGCTCTATATTTTAACGTCAGAGAAAATATTCAACCACCAGTAGAGTCAGGATGGGCAGCTCTGGCATAGACAGGGAGATCTGGCAAAGGCCTAAAACAGGCTCCAAGGAATGACAGCAGAGCACGACAACTTCCTGATATGACACCATCAACCATCCCCTTTCCTGCATTGTGGGAACATGTTCAGTGTTCTAATTAAAAGCAAGCATGGCTTCCCCTCCCCAAAATAAAACACAGCAGCCCCACCACACAGAAACTGGCATTTTCCTCTAGAATCATACGCCTGTATACTATGGACACAAAAAATTAAACAACAACTAACCTGAACCCGTCTGGGATCTCACAAGAGCATCTCTGCCTTCCAGCAGTGCAGGAATACTTTGCTTCTGAACACTTGGGCACCCAAAAGAAAGAACACTTATTCATCTATGCCACTCAGTTATGTTTACAAAGAGAAACAAGGACAGACAAAATGCAACGACCCCTGGTTTGATTTGTCCATCAAATGACACCATAAAAGTTACCTAATATTCAAGTAAAGGTGCTAAAAATTTTTCATAATTTGAAGTTTACAGCCAATTAAATTTCTGGTACTTAGCTTAAAATGTTGAGGGAAGACTATGAGTGGTCATTCCACTAGTTTTTTTTAAATTTGGTGGATGAGAGAGGACTCCTTATTTTCTTCAATATTCTTATTTATTTTTTACTTAGAGAAGTAAAAGTTAGTCATTATTTCTAACAAAGAGAAGCATACATACTCAAAAAGAAAAAGTTGATCTCTTCCCCATAGCTTTCACTACTCTAATTTTATTTTCTAGGAGTCTATAATGCCAACAAAGATTCTTAAAAATATTTTAGCTTCCCACTATTTATAACCAAATAGTGTTGTTGGTTGACTCTAATTTTTACTACTAAGAAATCACATGCTAAAGTCTACATTTTGGCCAACTTATCTTCAGGGAAGGAAGGACAACAGTGGTATCTTACACAGATCATCCTGTGTGTCAAAGATCTCTTACAGTTTAGAGCTGAGAATAAAACGGAATGAAGACTCAACCTCTGGCATTTAGCAGGGGAAATGGGCAAACTGAGTGTTTGATATGTTGAGCCCTTCCTTTTTAATGCCAAGACTCAAATTTGCTCTGTTCTCCAAAGACAATTCAAATTTCATCAGTTATCTGCATTTTAGTCCTAACAAAATTAAGATGAGTCTGGAATTCTTACCTGGTCATACTAGATATTTTTAAGACTGTATTTATCGTAGAAATCTAAAAGAGAAGACAAAGCAAATAAATATTTTCTTTAACATTTCTTGGTAGAAACACATTATGTTTAATGGAAATAACAAAAAGGATAAAATATTGGGATGAAACTGATAACCATGATCATAGTAAGTTAAAAAGAGAGTGCTCGGTTCTCCATCCAGGGGTAATTTTGCCTTCTCTCCTGGGAACATATAACAATGTCTGGAAACGTTTATGACTATGACAAATGAGAGGAGGTGCTACTAAAATCTAGTGGGTAAAGGCCATGGGTATTGCTAAATATCCTACAATGTGCAGGAAAGAGTAACCCACAACAAAGAGTTACGCAGCCTACAATGTCCTAAAAATCCTTCTCTCAGCTGTAGGTGAGGGGGAAAGGCAATGTAAAAAAGGGAAAGGTAAGCTTTACCTGAAGAAGCTAAGGAAATCATCACTACTAAAAATGGATGTATTTTTTTCTCTCCATACACCTAAGAAGTCTGGAAACTCATTCAAATTAGGGGTGGGGGGAGGAAAGGAAGGGCATTTATTTGTAGGAAATGCAGCTTAAAAAAAAGCCTTTTCTTCCCTTAACAGCAAGATGCCAGTTCAATTCCCTCATCTATGATCTCTATGATGTCTGCTAGCACAATGGTCTTCATGTCATTATCCAGTAATTAGGAAGCTATCTTAAGTACCATATGTGAAGTCCCAGTGCAAAAGAAAGTCTTGAATTCTTAAGGTAAAACAAAACAGAACAAAAAAAGTCTTGGAAGAGACAGTATACGATAACCTACACACACTAAACTGCCCTAGACAAGTATTCTTTCAATCTGAGTTCATTCAGGTAACTTGGAGTAGAAATAATCACTCTTCAGTTTCTCTTCCTAGAACTGTTATTTCACAGACATTCTGAATAAATATACTCACAAAACCCACATCAAATCCTGAGAGATACTTACTAAATGTGGATGGAGGTCCAGTTCATGAAAAGCATCTGAAGTAAACACTTTCTCTTGCACCTGCTTTACTGCAGGTCTGCAAATAATTAACAGAAACCTAGGCATCAGTTCCCACAGACAAAGAAAACAGCAGAATACACTTTTTTCCCTTTATCCCTAAAGTGCATCTGCACCGGGACATACCTGTGGAGTTCTGGAATTTCAGGGTTGTTTTTAAACAATGATGAAGTCTTTATGGCTGGTTTCTCCTTCTGGTATACATTACTGGTCTCAGTTGAGTGCTTCTTTGGAGAAAATATTTTTGGTGCCTTCCCCTTAGAAGTCCTGAGAGTCTCTGTAACACCAGTTTTCTTAGCTAGGGAAAATGGTGTCTCATGTCTCTGTTTCACTGGAGGAGCCTCACTGGGTAGGAGGCATTTCCTTTTAGTGGCCTTTTCTTGCTGCATTGTTCCCAAAAGGAAAGATCAACAAGAGAGGCATTAGTCCATGAAGACAGACCTCAGAGTGAAGGCTGACTGCCCACAGAATTGCATCTCTTCCTGCAGGGATCATTATGCCCCATATGTCAAGCAACAGTTTAAGGTTTGCAGTCAGATTTTTCAACTCAGCAACCCCCTCCCCCACCCTAAAGAAAAAAAAATCTCAACTCATTTATCACTTAATCAGGATGCAGGTGAATATCAAGGAGGGAGATGAGTATTAATAAATAAGCCTGTTTAACAGGGAAGAGATAATTCATCTTTTAAAGTATGCATGTAAAGTCAATCCATATTCCTAGGATGGGGAGAAAAGGAATCTTTTCTCTCTACCTACCAACAAAGCAAGTCAGCGACTGCACACATGGTAGAAAATTGGGATGGCCATGTCTTAGCTTATGCCCAGGAAGTGGAAACCTTCATTACTGCTCTATCCAAAAGTGCTTGGATCTCTGTCATCCTCTACCCTCAAGCTGCTCCTCCAGATTTAGATGGTTTGGAGATAATTCCTACTCACGGTTCCAATTCCAAATGAGAATTCTGCTCCATCCATCACTTCTATTACAATTATTTCCAACTCTCCTTGCCTTTCCATTTCCCACCTGATCACCGATTACAAGCTACCAAACCCAATCCACTGCTGTCAAGTCACTTCTGACTCACAGCCACCCTGTAGGACACAGAACTGCCCCCATAGGGTTCCCAAGGCTGTAACCTAGTGTGGTGCTGTAGGATAAGCATTGGACTGCTAACCTCAAGGCTGGTGATTCAAACCCATCGTGGAAATCTTATACAGGGTTGCTATGAGTTGGAACCAACTCAACATCAATTCACAAGAACAATCCTGACAGTAGCAAACTGCCACATCTTTCTCCATGGAGTGGCTGTGTGTACAAACCACCGATCTTTCTGTCTGTAGCCAAGTATTTTAACCACTGTGCCACCAGGACTCCTTTATAAACTACAATACTAAACATTTTATCTGTTGCTTATTTCTAGTACATGAATATGGTTAAACACCATAATGTCCACACTTCCCCTATAAGAAACATCTGATTCTTACATATTTTTTGGCTTTCTCTTCCTAATTACATATAAATATATCCCTTACGTAGCCAGTGCTTGACATTCTGTAGTTTTGGTTCTCTTGGAACCTCTTTGCTTATAATGATGACTTCTGGTTACATCATGGTTGGGGAACGCCTAGGCCCGGAGGCCATATGTTGTTTGTTGTTAAGTGCCATTGAGTTGATTCCGACCCATAGCGACTCTGTATAGGGTTTCCAAGAAGCAGCTGGTGAGCTTGAACTACTAATGTTGCAGTTCAAACAACTTTGTAATCTGATGCATTAGCACACCAGGATTCCAGTGGGCCATATAAATCCTGCAAAATCATTTGGTCTGGCTCTGCCAAAGCAACCGCAGTTACAGCCATCAAATTGTTGTCGTTAAGTGCTGGAGAGTCAGTTCCAACACACAGTGACCCTGCATAAGGTTTCCAAGGAGCAGCTGGTGAGCTTGAACTGCCGACTTTGTGGTTCAAATGAACTTTGCTTTCCAGCACAATAACTCATAGCACTGCAAGTTAATTAAATGTTTGACCAAATATAGCAGACTAATTTTTAAGTTGATAATTTTTTATGGCCCTTGGCAGAAAAAAGGTTCCCCACCTCTGGCCTGGCGCTATGGAATAAACACAAGATCACAAAGTCAGTTTGAGTCATGAGGTCAGCGGTTCAAACTCACCAGCCACTTCTAAGAAACCCTATACAGTGTAGCTGTGACGGGGAACCAACTCAATGGCACTTAGCAACCACTACTACCCTTAGCTTACACACTAGCTTATTTTAGCTGTGACTGTCAACTTCAGAAAAACCTACTAGTAATGCAAGTTCTTTGCTTCTGGCAACCATAAGGATTCTTTTAAGTAATTCAATAAATACAACTTCATAAATTTCATATTAATTAAGTCCAACGCACTTTTATAAAATCCTGAGTTAGGGAATCTTAAGATTAAAGGAAGATAAAGAAGTCAAGTTTCAGGTCTGTTGATTCACTTGCAAGACAGTATGGAAAGGGCAGATTTCTGTCTATAGTACGTGGCTCAAGAGACCCATAGAATCCTGGAGCACAAAGAGCCAATAATACCACTCCCACCATGTGCAGAAATTCTGACTGCAGGTTCCCTGCCAGGTGGCCTCAAAACCCCTGTCTACACATGTCAGGAGGCAGTCCGCTCTGTTCCTGACCAATTCTAAGGAGGAAGCTGTTTCTGATATTCAGGCAAAATCTACTTCCTTGTACACCTCCTACTAGCCTTCCTTCGCGTACTAATTCTTTTTCCACGCCCCCCCCCCCATCTTTGGACTACATATTCCATATAAGATATTAACTATATGTCTTACCATCTGGTCACTCTTTAGTACTATGTCAATGTCTCTCTAAAAGCAAGTACCCAACAGTTAAATGCAATATTCAGGAGCTTTCCACTGCTCTTAGGCTAAAATCCAAAATCTGCAATATTATCTATGAAGCCTTCCAGAATCTGTCCTTTGCCACCCTGATCTTCCTTAAGTCCCTAGAGTGAACCCTGCTCCTTTCCTCCTCAGGACCTTTGCACCCGCTATTCCCACACCTGTGTCCCCTGCCTTTCCTCAGGCTGATGAACTCACATTCAATCTTCAGATTAGGCTTCCCTGGAGCATTCCAAGGAGTCTTTCTTGACCTGTTTTCTCCAGTCAGTCAAGCCAAGGTTCTCAGTTCTTGGCTCTCTTGGCACCTTTTTTTCTTTTGCAGCACTCACCATGATAAGCACAGAATGTATTTCATTGATCCCAATAATTCCCCCACACATCTACAACACATTCATTTTTTAAAACTCTACAGCTGTCAAGTAGCTTGGTTCTGAAGATCAGCCAACCCCTTGAGGAAGTCACACATTGGCTTGTGAAAGTGACAAAGGTGTAAAAACAAATCTTTATTTGTTTAACTGTTGGGTCCTTGCTTTTAGAGACATTGACATAGTACTAAAGAGTGACCAGACGGTAAGCGATCCAGTTTATATATTATTTGGAATATGCAGTCCAAAGATGGGGGGTGGAAAAAGAATTATTACCTCTGTATTTGTAATAAAGACGTACACACAAAGGATTAAGTGAAGACAGAAAAACAAAGACTAACATGGCTACAGTAGGGAAAAAGAGAGGCAAGGAGTTAAGGAATGCTTGCAAAGGTGACATTTGATCAGAGAGGAAGAAAGGACATAGCTGGATTTATTATAAAATTTTAAATTAAAATTTCAAAATTTGCAAAGGATCAGTGAAAAAGAGGTACACTAAACTGGATGGTGTTTTTCACTGACCATCATCATTAGCATGAGTTAACAGATAAATCAACTATACCAGAAACCAGTTTTCAGCTCGTTTGGGTTTAGTTCAAGGCACCATTTTACAGTCCCACCAGTAGCGTAGTGGTTACGAATCGGGCTGCGAACCTTAAGGTCAGCGGTTCGAAACTACCAGCCGCTCCGCGGGAGAAAGATGAGGCTTTCTACTCCCGTAAGGATTTACACCCTCGGAAACCCTGTACAGGGTCGCTATGGGTCGGAACCGACTCGACGGCACAACAACAACAACATTCCACGCGGAATGAAAATCTATACAATTTTTGAAAGCTACTCAAAGAAATTTCTAGTCCCCAAATCCTTATTCCTGAGACAAACGAACATTGAGAGCGTTGACTGTGAAACTGACAGAGCTGGGACTCGAGCCTGGGTGGCAGTTCTAACTTTACGGAAAACAGCATCCAATTCCACACACCACCTGGCCAGGTTTCCGAGCAGCAGCAAGGGCCAGCACCCCGCCCTCTTCACTCGCTCCACTCCCTTCAAGGTGGTGTTCCGGTTTTATACACGTGCTCCTGAGCAACTCCTCCTGAAATGCCTGGCAACTGGTTTCCCCTGCATTACTCTGTAGACGATTCGGAAATGGTCGCAGACGCAGGCTGTGGGGAATGAACTGAAGCCAGGTCAGAACTCACCCGTTTTGCCTGAGCTCGGAGGGGTCTGAAGGAGGTTTTGGAGACAGCGGCCCGGGCCTCGAAAACGTTGAGAAGCAAATCGTCATCTGCTTCCATGGCTGGCCGGAGAAGAGCGACAGCCGCGAGACGCGAGAGGACCTAACTACTCAGGGTTTGGGTTCGCGGCTCCAGCTCCGACTCTAGCCCACGTGGGACGCTTGTGAGGACCCCAGGTAGCTGCCCTGTGGAGTCCTGTAGCTGTTCCCCCTTCCGGGGCCAAGAAAGACTCAAAACCAAACACATACACAACTACGAGGATTAGAGCTGCAGTGCCGGGATGAAAGGGCGTTTGCTGTGGGTCATGGACTGGGAAGTGCAAAAGCGAACGCCCTGAGGGCGAGGGGTATCTACTAATAGGAAGTGACAACTCCACCCCCTATGGCTTGGTTTATTGCAGAAATGAAAAATTACACTCAATGGGGGAATGAATGTTAAGTCCTTTGCATTCCTCTAAGAGTCTACCGCATGATTACTCAGGAGAAGCCCCCAAAAGGACCTGGGGCACGGTCTCGAGGAGAAAGAGCCTTCTGCCTGCCACGAAGGAGGTAAATTTAAGGCCAAGTTACGCCGAGGCTTCCAGTCTTTTACCCATTCGCACAAACTGAGGCATAACCAGCCATGGACGTGTGGATTGGGGCCGCAAAAGAGGCGCATTTTCTAGACAGGCAGTTTCTTGGACACCTGGCAGGGCTGGGTCGCCTGGCAACGGCGGGGTCCTTCCTGGCTCAGCGGCGCTCGGGGCCTGAGGGGAGAAAACTGCCGCGGAGGGGGCTGGCGGCTGCTGTGCTGGAGGCGGTAAAGGGGCCGCAACGTGGAGTTTACGCTTCCGGGGATTCGGCCTCTGGATCTAAGGGAAGATGTCCACGGCCAGCAAGGCCCAGGAGGGGCCAGAG